CTCTGTCCTTACCTGAAACCTCTGTCCCCATCTGCCCAAGAGGGTAATGTTCAAGGCAGCACTCAGGAGTCATGTGTCTATCACCACCCCCTACATTTCTGTATTTGGGTTTTCCAATGAAATAAAAAAAAAAACTATAGTAATAGTAGTAATAGAATGATTTTAATAATAACTTTGAAATTCCAAAGAATTTCAAATTTGACTTTGCTTCCTGACAAAAGCTTTATGGAAAGAAAATGAGAAAGAAGATTAGGAGCAGGTATGTTAGAGATAGGAAAGAAAAGTCAAGAAATTGCAATAGGGATAACCCCAACTATAAGCATAGTGAGAGGATACGGTTTTGAATAATGAGTGCAAGATAGGAGAAGAAGAAAAAAGATTCAATGTGGAAAATTAACATTCAAGTTAGTTGTATTAAAAAAAAACTCTTGTATTTAGTGAGCACTCAATAGACATTTGATTAATTGATTGGCTGATTAAATGTGATTAAGTACTGAATTCTCCAGCATATAACCTGAAGCCTGGTTCTTTGGAGAGAATGAGGACTAATAAAAACATATGGGCTTCTTATAATCTTCTGAGTAAGGCTGGAGAGGCAATAAAACAGATGCTGCTCCCTCTTCCTTTCCAACACCTAGAGATTTTTGTCAAAGCCATTTGTTATTAAGCAAAAGATCAAGACAGCGAATGTTTAAACTTTTAAGTGCTTAATACTCTAATCTTCTGCCATGAATTTACACAATGACTTCGCTTAATAAGCAGATACCTGAGTGCAGTCAATCTATTCTAGTTCTATTTGTAGGGCTGAGGTTGAAGGAAAGCTTGCTGTGGAAGGTTGGGAGTGATGGTGGTAGTTTGGAATCTTTTCTTCTATACTGTGTTAGCTATCTGATACCGCATTACCTACTGTGACAAAATCTCTAGTCTATTTCTAGCATCCACAGTGACTCCAGAAGTTTCCCAGACTTGTCCAGGCTGAGGGATTTCAGCCACTTTGAAAGGTAGCTCCAGGGATACAAAAAATATTTTTTTAAAAAAGTTACTTGGTAACTGGGTAGTGAGCCCCATGTTTTTCTCAGCCAGCAGAAATCAGCCCTCTGCTCTCTCCTCTGACCTTGTTCTGAAAAGATGACAAATGTAGAGCATTGAATGCCTTCTAGGAGGAGACAGCAGAGGAGCCTCAGACCCTCTGACTTGGAACATCGCCTTCTGTTCCATTCATCATACTCCTTTTGTGGTGTACTTTTAAATACTAATGTTAATAAACCTCTATTTTCTTTAAAGTCAAATAAATTAGAGTTACAATTTTGTAATTGGCAATTAGAAAACTGGGAAAGAACCCACCCAAAGGAAGAATAAAGATTTTGAATATACCAGAACAACTTGCTACTTGGTACAGGAATGACAGAAGAGTGGAGCTACCCTGATCCAAAATTTGCTTTCATTTCATCTCTCAAGAAAAAAAAATTAAATAGGAAGGGCCAAGCTAACAGTTGAAAAACAGATTGATGCTAAAGTGACAAAGTGGTTGTCATAGAGCCTGAGTTCAGGTCTAGTCTCCTGTCCTGGCAAGTTGTAGTTTAGGAAGCAAGAGTGAGTCTGAATACATTTGGGGGATAATTAAACAGGAGGTTTTGTGAGTATTTCATGAGAGTACTAATCTATGGGAGATAGCATGGGCTCACTAAGACAAATCAGGTAGAATCTTCTTAAAGGCAACTGTCTGGCAGTAAATGGAACCAAACAAAATGCCAATTAACTGGAAGCTTTTTGCCATTAGAAATCCCAAATTACTTCTTAAGAACAGAACTGAATTTTGGAAGCAAGAGAAAGGATCTGGTCTAAGTACAGCATAAAGATTTATGGCCTACACACACACACACACACATCACATCACATATAATTTTATTTTTTCCTACTTCATTAAGGAATCTTGACAAAATTGTATATATTTAAAGTATACAACATGATGATTTGATATATGTATATACAGTATGAAGAAGTCTTCATTATTTTCAACTTTCTAAAAAAGTTTTCCATGGTGAGACAGCTCAAGATCTACTCTCAACAAATCTCAAGTCCACAATACTCATAACTAACTCTAGTGACACTGTTGTACGTTAGAGTATTATAGGTGAGAGTTTGTATCCTGTGAACATGTCTGCACGTCACCCATCCACTTACCCTCAGCCCTGGCAACAGCATTTCTACAATATCAGCTTTTTTTAAAAAATTTTTTAAAAAAGCTTCCACATATATGTGGTACCACATGGTGTTTGTCTGTCTCTCTAACTTCTGTTAACATAATGTCCTCCAGGTTTATCTATGTTGTAAATGAAAGAATTTCCTACTATCTATCTATCTATCTATCTATCTATCTATCTATCTATCTATCTATCTATCTATCTATCTATCACCTATCATCTCCACATCCAGGAGAATTATAAGGATCTCCAAGGATGTAGATAAATTTGAAAAATCCTGCTAAGCAATTCTGATATGAAATTCATCTCACAATTTATTGATCAATTCATCCTTCAAACAGCTTAGGTTGTTCTGTCTTGGATATTGTGAATAGTAGTGTAATGAAGATGGCAGTGTGACTGTTTCTTTGCAATAGTATGTTCATTTCCTTTGGTGATGTTTGTGCTTACCCAGAGGTAGGATGTCTGGGTCACATTATAGTTCCAGTTTTCAATTTTTAATGATTCTTCATATTGAATTTCAGAGTGACTATACTTCTTTTCCCCCACACATCCTCACCAGCCACAATCCTGATGCCAGAATATAACTTCCACTCATTCTGTTAGCTCAAGTAAGTCATAGGGTGAGGCCAGATTTAAAGGTAAGGGAAATCACTATACTCCTTGGTGGAAGGGGTGAGAAATCATATTTCCAAAGACATGTGAGATGGGAGGGATAGTTGTGACTGTCTCTGGAAACAAGCTACCAGTGTGTCCTTGGAAAAATTACTTAACCACCTGATTTCATTTTCGTCACCTGCAAAATGTGAAGTAACATCTTCTTAGGGATGTTGCAAGCAATCAAATGTGCTTAGCATCTTGTGTACTATAGTAGACACACAACACAACAACAAAAACATACTGGTTGAGCCTATACTACAGGAAGTACTATTCCAAATACCTCACACAATCTTTTAACTACCCAGTGACACTCATATTAGTATTATACCATGAGGAGCCTTGGATCCCAAAGCATTAAGTAACTTCCACAGGTGGAATTCACACTATTCACCCTAAATCATGGAAATCCTAACTACCTGCTACCTCAATGCTACCTCAAAGGACACAGGTTTGTTTCTTTTTCTTTAAATTCTGTGGAGAGTTAAAGCTGTTAATTGCTCCTCCAACCCTTCTTAGCCTGTCTGGTTTCTTCTCCTCTACTGCTAATATCCAGTCTTCTCCTTATAAAGCACATTTTAAATTTCAGTGGTCGTCTTCTAGCTTTCTTTCTTTCAGAAACCCATTCAGTGGTAGTCCAGTCTTTACCTTCCTGGGGCTGATTGTCAGTCATTTCTCCTAAATTCCAGGCTTCCACCAGGGCCTCACCACACATGACAGGCCAATTTTTTTTTTTAAAATATCAGTGTCTTAGTTTTACACATTCCATTGGTTGCAATATTGTCAATTAACACTTGAAATGCATTTACAATTTGGGTGTCTCTGACAATCAACTTAGACCCTTGTCATGTCTTGCCTGGCTTATCAAAGAAATTTCCCTCAGTTCCTCTGACCTAGTCCAACCAGTATTTTATTTCTCTTTTCACAAATGCGCCTCCCATCAACAGGGACCAAAGACCAGCTACTGGTGGTCCCTCTCAGTGGCTTCCTCTTAGTGAATTTCTTCTCCCTCCTAATTTTTTGGGGACAGAAAGTCTACTTGTATTTGCACAACTCTAGAGTTACCTTTATTTTTACAACTCTGCATTTTCCCAGTTATTCTACTATAAGGTCATTAAGCACCATTCATATAGTGGGATTTCAAAGCTCATCTGCTGGGTGCACACTCTGGGGTATTCAGTATTACCTTTCTGCACAATGTGATCTACCACGAGATGTCCCTAGCAATAGCACAATTTATGGCTATGAATGGCAGTTAATAAGTGTCTACTCTCCAATTTTAGAGTGGGGATTGGACTTAAAACCAAGGTTACTCTGCCTCTCACTTAGGAACTTGCAACTTCCAAATCTCAGATTCTTCTTTGGTAAAATGGGGATAATAGTTATGCAAAACTTGTTAGGCTATCAAAGAAATTAAATGAGATTATATTATCTGAGAGATTTGTGGGACAGTGTCCAGTGTGCACTCATGCACACGTGCGGGCGCTCACACACACCCCCTACACCCACAGGCAATATTCTGATTATTCCTAGGCTTTTTGACTGAAAGGCTTAGGTGGTGGTGTATGAGAGGTGTCCTATTTTGTCTTCTAAATATCTAAGATATTCTATGATATTCTTCCTTGGTGGGTGTTAGAGACATGTTGACAATCCTCAGATTTCCAATTAGCAGCTTCAAAAAACAACCAGGATCTTTGAAACTCCAGGTGAGTCCCAGCATCTTTCCCAGGAGCCACTTACTTCACCTCGGCTCTGATCTGAGTACTTCCACTTCTGTAGATCACCAGGGTGAGCAAAAAGATATTTCGCTTAGGAAATCCTTCCTTTGTCGGTGAATCTTGGCCTCAAAGCCCGCAGTTGGGGTCTAGCAATCTTAGGCCCATGTTTTATGCTTCTGAGCCGCTTTTCAAGTTTGAAGACCGCACTCGGTTCTCCAGCTGTGGCAGGTGTAGTCCAGTTTGTGTTTTCAGCACAGAGCACCCAAGAATGTGCTTTGGACACGCGGGCAAGGGGCGGCAGGAGAGGGTGTTGTTTGCATCAGGACGAAGGGGTGGGGTAGTTAGAAAGCCCGGAGCGCGCACACGCTCTTCTTCTCCAAGGCGGGCGCGGCGGCTGTTAAGAGCGAGGTCCGGAGCCGGGTCCCCAGTGCTTGTAGTTGCGGGCGAGTCCCCCCGGAGCCAGGCTGGCGTTCCAGCGGGGACCGCCGGGATACCACCCCGCGGCGCGCACCCCAGACCCAGCCCCGCCCCCGGCGGCCGAGAGTAGCGGGCGGAGAGCTAGCTGAGAGGCGCGCAGGGTTGTGCGGCGCCGCCTCTCCTCTGTGCCGGGGGAGGGACTGAGGGACCGGGCGGGAGAGAGCGCGAGCCCGACCGACCGACAGACTCGCGGAGAGCTGCATGCAACCGGTGGGAGGCTGGGCCGGCTGGGGCTGGGGCTCGGGCTCGGGCGGTTTTCTGGCGGGTCCCAGGCGAGCGCGGACGGCCCAAAAGCGGCGGGCAGGCGGAGGGTTGTCTCCCGCGCCAGCCTGCCCGGCGCGGTCCGAGGATGCGGGGGGGCGATGCCCGGGGCCAGGGACGCGCTCTGTCACCAGGCGCTGCAGCTGCTGGCCGAGCTCTGTGCCCGTGGGGCCCTGGAGCACGACAGCTGCCAGGATTTCATCTACCACTTGCGGGACCGCGCCAGACCCCGGCTCCGCGACCCAGGTGAGTGTGGCCGCCGCTGCCCGGCGCGACCGGAGGGCCCTGGGCTGGGAGTTGGGGCCTGAGGCTGGAGAGCTTCGGGAGCTAGAGGGAGGCGTGAGGTGGTCGCCGAACTAGGGGAGGGGATCAGCTGAGCGCTCGGTGGCCTGACGCTGGAATCGGGCGGGGACCTGGGAGGGGGCTGCAGCGCGCAGGCCGAGCCGGGTGGGCTGGGGCTGGTGGGAGGGACCACGCCCGCTACCTGCGCTCGCGACGCCGGGGCTCCGGGGGCGGCTCCCGTTCTCCCAGCCCCACTTCCCCCGCTCTGCGCTCGGCGGAGGGGAGGCCGCGGCCCAACCGTGGGAAGGGGAAAGAGGCCAGGGGAAACTCTGGGAAGTTGGGAGTTGGAGATGGCCCCGGACTGCGGCTGAATCCCAGTGGGCGCATCTTACCCTTGCACCGCCGCACCCATTCCCTTTCCTTGTGCCGGGTGAGAAGAGCGGGGCGGCTTGGGCGTCGGGCCCAGGACGGGCACTCCTGGTCCTGGGCAGTCGGGCCTGAACCAGTTCCAGGCGGGTCGCTTGTCTTGGCAGCGGCCTGGGCCTTCCCCGGACCTGCTGCTGCCGCGGGGCGCGTCCTGGCAGGTGGGCTTGTGGTTATGGCCAAGCACCTGCCCTAGTGAAAGTTGCAAAGCTCTCCTAACTTTGGAAAGTTCATTTATTGTAATTAAGGTTGAAGGAGGGAGTTTCAGTGGAACCATTCGCTTTCCTTAAGGGCCTTTGGGTCTCCCACATCTTATCTGCTGCTTACATTACTGAAGACACATTTTTTTCAAATGTTTACTTGAGTTTCTTCTCACCTGGAGAGATCACTTTCTCGAATATTCTCTCTATCTAAGTACTAAGTAATAATAATAATAAAAGCATAGTGTGGTTGGGTTGGGTGAGATGAATAAGAAAATGGCCTTTCCTTTGCTATTCTTGTGTATAAATGCTGGAAATGAGCTATTGATTTGCAGATTACCTAGTATGAATTTTCCTCATTTAAGCCAGTCCATTATATAAAACTATTTACCCATAGGGTAAATTGGAGAATTATTGAATTTATAAAGAGGTACACACTGAGCTTGATTGACATGGTACTTCCTTTTGGGTACTTAAGGGGTCTTTGAAGGTGAATGTTAATTTTTCCTTTCTCAAAAGACTTATTTACTAATGACAAAGATTAGTTGCCCTGTGGCTACAGTAGTCAAGTTTATCAGATCATCACTAAAGTGTTACTTCAAGGTGGAGAATTTACCTCAAGGTGGAGAATTAAGTCTAGAAATAGTGTTGATCCCAGATGATTTTTCTGGAGGTTTAATGTCCAGCCTATGCGTGACTCAATTCTAATGAGGTGTGCTACACAGATCGCAGACATGAATGAGGACAGGGTGGTCTCCTATGAGGGGAAAGCTATGTCCCTAAGCAGCTTGAACAGGACAGTTGCTTCCTAGCAGGCTTTCCCCAAAGCAAGTGTTAGTGTGGAAGCATCCAGTTTCTTTACCTGTTGGTTCCATAAGTTCCCATTGTTATCCTACACGAGTCCCTCTAGGCTTCAAGAGAGAAGATGGATGAGGCCTATTACTGAGCCCAGTATTTAACACCTCAGATTTTTGTGTGTCAGTTTTATGCTTCTGCTCCTTTTAATATACAAGCTGCATTTCACATTCATAGGTTTTCCTCAGTGTCTGCACTGGACGGCCCTCAAGAAGAAAGACGGCGCAGACTTCTCACAAGAGACAAATCCGATTCCTTGACTTGAGTATTAGCTGTAGTGAAGACTGTGCCCTGCTGCTTTCTGTATTACTGAGTGCCTGTTCTACTTTCTTAAATCAGGGCACAGGGGCTTTGTGTAACTCCATGCCCCTCTGGATGTTTGTTTCGTGTCCAGAAACCAGGTTACAAATGAGGACTGAGAAAGACTGAGGCTGAAGATGACATCCCAAGTGCACCCTTTATCACAAGGCACTTCAGGTCAGGCCAGAATCTCTCTTCATTTCCCTCCTTCCTCTCATGGGTCCTTATTAATGCTTATATCAGATGCATTCATCACCCTTTAAGCTGTTTGAGAGCTCAAGTCAAGAATAGCTTTAATTTCTGCATCCTGAAAATTTCACTGAATGGTGGAGTAGCTGCATTGTGAATGGTGCCTCTTTTACTGTGAAGTGTGAACTGGAGCAATAATTCATCCTGAATGGTGATTATTTAGGCAGAGTTGGCTCTGTAAATAGGTGTCCTCCTTTCATTTAAAGGAACCTACCTAAATGCCATGCTCCAGCTTTCTCTGTCCATTGACTGTCTATGGCTACTCAGGAATAGTTAGGTTTTCTCAGGATCAACTGAGGAACTTAGTTTTAAAAGGAAAATGCTGACATAATTACCTGTGGATAGCAGAATTCTAGGATTTTTGTTCATTTTTTGAGGTAGGCTGAGGTTTGGTCACAGACCAGTGGGCCATCAAAAAGTTATTCTTTGCCCAGATGATTGCAGTGCCCTAGTGGAGGAGTACATGGATTCATCTCCCCAAACTTGATAGTAAAAGAAGATCTGGTCCAAGTGTGACTTAAAAAAATGAAGCTAGATTGCAATTGGAGCTAGAATACTTCACCCAGGCCTTCATCTTTACCTATTATGGAAAATAGGTCTGAGCACTTGTTTCCACACAGTGCTATTAGAGTGCTGCTGTTAGGTGTCTTTCTGTGCATTGGTGATGCCAGATAGAAATTTTCAAGTCTCAGTTAATAGCTTTCATGGCAGAGGGAAGAACAGGTACAAAATATTGAGTAGAGTCTTTCTAACTTACACTTAGAGACGACATCTAATATCGATGTATAGAATAGAGAAAATGGGAATTTTCATGGGCATTTCTCCAATATTCTTAGTTTACATGTTTGCCTGAGGTAGGAGCTTTGTTGATGTGATTCATGGGATGCTAGAACAGAAAAAAATGGAGCCAGACAGAAATATGGTCAGTAGTTAGAGGTAGAAGATAATCCTTGTAAGCTATTATAAGGACTGTGGATTTTACTCTGAAAGAGATGTGAAGCCATTAGAAAGAATTGAGCATAGAAGTGACAAAACCTTGGTGACTGTGTTGAGAAAATACTATAGAAGATCAGCTGTGAAGACAGAAACTTGTTGGGAAACTATTGTAATAACCTGAATATAGGGGGATAGTGACTGCACCAGGGAAGTTGTAATGGATATGTCAGAAGTAACTGGTTTATAGGCAGGATTTGAAGATAGGTATTAGGATTGGATGATGGAATCATTGTGAGGGATAAGTGGAGTTGAGGAGTCTAAGACTTTTTGCTGAAGCAACTCCATTTACTGTTTAGAGGAAGACTTCAAGAGGAATTGAAGGGAGTGAGAGAGAAATAGAATGATTTTTGTTTTATTTCAAAAAAAATTTTGTTACTATTTGATGATTTCCCCTAAAAAGTTCATCAGTGACCTAAAACATGAATGCTTTCTTAATGTCGGCTGGTCTGTACTCATAATTTGTAACTGAGGACTTCATTCTCTCTCCTTAAGAGGACCAGTTGTTTGTCAGATGGCATCTATTGTTCAAAGGTTTTATTTCTTGTATCAAATTAAAAAGCTCTCTGTAACTTGCACTTCTTGCACTTTTGGTAGCCATAAAGAATTAGACTCCTCTCTATTTTCCATCCTTTGTTATTAGGATGTAGCAATTTTAACATTTCTTAACCTGTTGTTTCCATTTAACAAAAAGAGAGGTTTCTAGGTTTTAACTATGTTTAATTATTGCTCTCACAAGTCTTTTATTCTGTAGGATGCCGACCACATCTTTGTCAAGCACTTTATGTAGGTCATTTCATTTCATTCTCATAATGTCTTCAAAGACTCTACTGGTCAAAGTGTTCACTGTGGAACAGCAACATCAGTAGCATCTGGAACTTATTAGGAATGCAGGCTTCATCCAAAATCTAATGCATATGAATCTGTGTATTAACAGGATCCTCAGGTGATTCAGAGAGGCACATTGAAATTTGAGAAGCATTGCTAAAAGAGATTGGCATATAAGAATAAACTGAAACTCAGAGAACTAAATCAGCCCAAGGCCATGATTCCATTTAAAAAAATTGTTGAGTCTAAGTCAAAGTAGCTTTTTAAGCAAACACATCATATAAGCTAAGAATATAGGAGTATTGCCAATGAAAATTTCCACTTTCTCTATTCTACATGTCTATATTGGATTTAGTCTCTAAGTGTAGGTTAAATTCTATACGATTACAGAGATTCAACTTAACATTTTGATTAAGAATTCTTTTGTCCAGGACGTTGGTGTTCTATTGACATTCCAGATTTGCATTTTTTTTTCTAATGGTGTTTTTTTTTATTAAAAAGTTTATTTTTACATCATTTTTCACATTTTTTTTTCCATCTCAATTGTAATCCCCACGGGTTTCCCATCACCAAATCACCC